TGATGGACTAAAATGATATTTAGGGGTTCTTCAAAGATCACAATTTCCTTTTCGCTCTCTACTCCTTATTATCATGGATAATTAAATCTGTTTCTAAAATAACCTGGTCCCATCTGAAGGATCTTTTGAAAGAAAGTTTCAGTCTAATTTTTTTTTTTATTTTGTGAGATATAGAGGAAATTTTAGTTAAGCCAAAAACGTTAGAATTGTAACTTAATGAAAATAAACATCTGCTGTTGAATTATAAATAAAGCTCATAATCACACAAAAAATAAGTTTATTATTACACACTGGCAAGTTAAACCACATTCTTTACAGACTCCTTAGAAAAGCACAGCATACTCTATATAACTATATATAGTTTATTTGCAAATCTGTAATATGTGTGCTAATATTTAGACAATTTTCTGTGCCTTAAAAATAAATCATAGCAATGTGCCAAGAACATAGAAGTTTCTGCAAATCACTCTTGATTTTGTCCTAGCTAGATCAGACAAGCTAGAAGATGGAGTTTGGGGCTTTCCACAAAGGTAACTCAGTAATTTCATAGAGATTTTCATTCTGAGCCAGTGCATAAATATGGTACAACCATGTGGCCCCATCAATGATTTCTCTCAATCTGTATTTCATTAAAATTTATGAAATAATCAGTGGGTCAAAACTCCAAAGTTGATGAGACCTTGAACAGCCTTCAATAACAAAGCATGCAGCAACAGAGAATGACAAAAGCCTCAGGAATTATCCATCTCAGGGCCCCTACTCTACAGGTCCTCATGGACTGGTCCTTTAAATTACCAGCTACTTTAAAAACAAAATGAAAACACAAACAAAAAAAAAATCTCTATGTGCTTTTAAGGGAAAAGCCTTGCACCAGCATTAATGTGTTTGTTAAAACAATCCTTTATTAAAAGAAGACTGAGAAATATGCCATTTAATTAAACTGACTTCTGCTTCCAGCCAAGATGGCCAGATGAAGGCATTAGGGCCATACTGAAAACAGGAAGATTAGTAACATATGTACTCTGGATGCTGAGTCTCTTCCAGCCCTCTTCCTCTCTGCTCCCAGACTATTACATCCAAAGAGTGGAAGAATGTGCTCCAGGTAATTGAACCAGTCAACAAGGAAGATCTAGACACAAACATAAGGAGATATCCAACAAGATGGCCAAACAAGATCATTCTACCATGAAGCCCACAGATAGCAAGTCCCGCCTATTTATTCTTTTACTCCAGGCAGCTTTTAACCCTCATTCTTAAATATAAACAGATGATGAAGTATCACCAGGTATCTGCAGAAAATTTTCTAATCTAAGAGCAATCTATAATAATAAAAGGATAATATGCTAATTAGACCGGACAGCCAAACAACCTTCCGAATGTCATTCTGGACGTCCTTCTGGACGAAGCCACAGTGGCAAAGGCCAAGGCAGAGGCAGTTAGGGGTGATCAGGCAGACAGGTGAGTGGTTAGGGGCTATGAGGCAGGCAGAGCAGTTAGGAGCAATCAGGCAGGCACGTGAGTGGTTAAGGGTGATCAGACAGGCAGGCAAGTGGTTAGGGGTGATCAGGCAAGCAAAGGTGGTTAGAGGCAATCAGGTAGGCAGGCGAGTGGTTTGAGGCGATCAAGCAGGCAGAGGCGATTAGGGGTGATCAGGCAGGCAGATGAGTGGTTAGGGGCAATCAGACAGGCAGGCAGAAGCGGTTAGGGGTGATCAGGCAGGCAGGCAGAAGGGTTAGGGGCGATCAGGCAGTCATGCAGAGTGGTTGGGGGCAATCAAGCAAGCAGGCAGACCAGCGGTTAGGAGCCAGTGGTCCCGGATTCGGAAAGGAATGTCCGACATCCCCTGAGTGGTCCTGGATTGCGAGAGATTGCAGGCCAGGATGAGGGACTTAACCCCCTACCCTGTGCATGACTTTTGTGCACCAGTCCTCTACTAAAAATATAAAAATACAACCAAAAAAAAAAGGGTTAGGGGCGATCAGGCAGTCATGCAGAGTGGTTGGGGGCAATCAAGCAAGCAGGCAGACCAGCGGTTAGGAGCCAGTGGTCCCGGATTCGGAAAGGAATGTCCGACATCCCCTGAGTGGTCCTGGATTGCGAGAGATTGCAGGCCAGGATGAGGGACTTAACCCCCTACCCTGTGCATGACTTTTGTGCACCAGTCCTCTACTAAAAATATAAAAAGGTAACACCAAAAAAAAAAAAGATTAGATCTATACTAGGAGAAAAACTTAAATGTATATTATTAATACCGTCAGAAAGATAATCCAGCTTATTCCAGAAATATTTAAACATTTACTATGTGCTAGACACTTTGAGATTCTGGTAAAATACTAGTGGGGAAAAAATGTATCTACCCTCATGAAACATATTCTACAGATAACAGGGTCAGAATTGGGAATGCAATTTTAAATAGAGTCATCAGGGAAAGTCTCAATGAGAGATAAATGTTATTTATAAAGATGAAATAACGGGATGCTATTGGAAAACGAACATTCAAAAAAATTAAAAAGAGCACTTGGAAATTAAAAACGTAATAGCAGAAAGAGAAAGCTTAATAGAAAGGTTCTTTATATGTCTAAATGAAACTTATTTGATCCTTGATGCAAAGAAGATTTCTGAGTTGTCTTTGTATCTTTTTTTTCCTATCACCTTGCCCATGGTAGGTGCAATCAATCGTAAAACAATGTGTGACTGGTATGTGTGAGGCACTGTGCTAGGCATTGGGATACACAAAATGAATAGATGTGATCACTTCTGAGGCAGTGCAACGAGTGGAGTCCACACATTTTCTTTAGGAGATGATAGGTATAAAGAGAGCTGAAGGTTTATGGGACAAGTTAAACCTCATTCTAAGTGTAGGCACAGTTATAAAATATCAAGATGTTAGGGATCTTTTTTAAAAGTATTTTTTTTATTGTTTTAAGAGAGGAAGGGGGAGCGATATAGAAACATCAATGATGAGAGAGATTCATTGATTCACTGCCTCCTGCACGCCCCCTACTGGGGATCGAGCCTGCAACCCAGGCATGTGCCCTTGACTGGAATCTAACCCGGGATCCTTGAGTCCATAGGCCGACGCTCTGTTCACTGAGCCAAAACAGCTAGGGCAAGATGTTAGGGATCTTGAAAGCCAGCCTAACTACAGACTTAATCCTGTGGCCAAAAATACTTAATTTCTTCATTATATATCTTTTAAAATTCAAAAATAAAAGCTTAATAGAAAGTTTCAAAGATAATCTGAGGAAATCTTACAGAAAGTATAGTAATATCCAAATAAAAGTTCCACAAAAAGAAATAGAGCAAATAGCAGGAAAAAATCAAGTAAATAGTTCAAGAAAATGTCCCAAAAATGAAGAATATGAGTTTCTAAATTAAAAGAGCCCACTGAGTACCCAAGACAATGGGGAAAAACAAACAAAACAAAACAAAAACAGATCCCTGGCAGGGCACATCAACATGAAATTTTAAAACACTGGAGTTAGAAAATTCCACAAGTTTCCAGCAGAGGGTGGTAGAGGAGGGCAAGCCTCATATAAATGATCAGGAGTCCATATGGTTTTAGACTTCTTAATATATACTACTGGAAGCTAGAATTCATTGGAACAATGCCATTAAAATTCTGAAGAAAACTTATTTCCACAATAATTGTATGCCCAAACTGGCAGTCTTCATGATGGTTCAATTAAATATATTTTTAGACATTCAAGGTCTCAAATTGAGTTCCACGCACCCTTTCCAAGAAAGCTACTCAAGGATATTCTCTACCAAAACAAGAGAATAAACCAAGTAAGAGCATGACATAGATACAGGATAAAGTAGATCCAACATAGGAGAAAGAAGAAGGGAATCCTTGAATGACAGTGTAGGGAGATACCATGATAAAAACTATATAACATGCATAGAAGACAATTGCTTTAGATTTCCTCAGAAAGATGAAACTAATACCTGATGTGTCAGAATTTCATAAGAAGAACTTTGGAACACTGAGTCTACAGTTGATTTAGGGGCAAGTACATTGAAAAGAAAACAAGCTGATTATTCACTCCAAGGCATACAAAAATCTGTGCAAGGAAGAAAAGTAAATAATGTAGCAAAATCTAGGGCGGGGGAAAAAATGGACACATATGTAATACCCTTTGTAATAAAAAATAAAATTTTGGGCGGGGGGGGGGGAGACAAATGATGATGACTAACACTGAAATATCAACAAGAGGTTATA